GCTTGTTTCGTTGATTGTAGATCGTAAAGAAATGGTTTTGCACTTAGCAGAGAAGCTTAGGGTTCTTGTTGATGATAGCAAGTCGAATTTCAGGGTAAAAGTTTGAATCTTTTATGAGTTTTGGATTTGCCCTTTTGATCAATTTGAGATTTTGATTGGTTGTTTAGGAGTATTAAGGTGGTTTCTTCTTTGTGTAGGAGACAAATTTCAAGGAGTGGAAGTTAGTTGTGCAAGAAATCACTCGTTTTACGAATTCTGATACGAACTTAACTTATGTAAGGCCTCTACGTTACTGTGCAATGCTTGATTCATATCCAGCTTCTCAAACGTATCTAGCGCGGTTCCACGCGAAGAAATTGTTCAAATTTCGTGATGCTCTCTTAGCGAGCTATCACCGTAATGAGGTAAACATCGTTTAAGAGTGTCGTCTCAAGTTCAAATCTGTTGTCTTTGTAATCATTGTATGAATTGGCTTCCTCTCAGGTGAAATATGCTGAAGTGACGTTGGATACTTATAGAATGATGCAGTGTTTAGAATGGGAGCCAAGTGGATCTTTTTACCAGAAGCGGCCTGTTGTTGAAACGAAGCAGAATGGTTTTGTAGTTGATCATACTTTAACTTCTGGGCTTATAGATATGAATTTGGCTGCTGATATGGCTGATCCGACATTACCTCCTAATCCTAGGAAAGCTATTCTGTATCGTCCCACAGTATCCCACTTACTCGCGGTGAGTTTTATGTGGATCGTATAGAAACATCTACCGGACATTCTCGATAGACAGGAGTGTGCTCATTCGTTATGTTTAACTGTATACTGGTAACATATACTTGCAGGTCTTGGCGATGATTTGTGATGAGCTCTCTCCAGAGTGTGTGATGCTGATATATTTGTCAGCTTCAGGTTAGTTTTCTTCTTGTTGTCACTTGGAACTTCTGAAGTTGGTGATTTGTTTGATCATGTTGTATCTGGTAATGATTATGCAGGCGGTCCTGCTCGCGACAATGTTGCGCCACCAGAGAGTATTGTCGGTTCAAGCAGAACATCAAAAAGCAAGCTGCTTGGCCGAGTTTCCCAAGAACAGAAAAGTTACAAGTCAGAACCTTATAGCAATGGACAAAAATTGTCTGGTGATTATTACGATGATTATCTCTGGTTAGGTCCTAGAGGAGGCTCTGGTAAGTCATTTTCCTTTGGATTAACATTTTTACATGTCTCCAAAGAGCAGACTTTTCTCACTCGCTATCTCGTTTTGGTTTTCAGTTTCAAACAACCTTTACCCTGGTGATCTAATCCCTTTTACACGGAAACCGCTTTTCTTGATCATTGATAGCGACACTAGCCGTGCATTCAAGGCAGGTTTGTCATAACCTTAGTCTATCATTTTCTCTGGAGAGTCTGATAGTTTCTCTCAGTCACTGTGCGATATTTGCTGATGAATTGTGAACTCCAGGTTTTAAATGGCGCAGAGCGAGGCGAGCCTGTTGCTCTACTTCTTTCTCCTCTGAAACCATCTTTGGAAAACCCATCTGCGGATGATACAGCAGCGCTAAACGGAAGTCAGTTTACTTTTTTCTTAACAGCTCCTTTACAAGCATTCTGTCAAATGCTAGGCCTCTCGAACTCAGATCCCGATCCTGTAAGCACTTGTGATTTGAAATAACCCTAAATGAACTAGACATTCCATAATGCAGCATGCCTTTTAACAATTTTCACAATCTTCAGGAAGTTTACGATGAAGCAGAGAGCATACTTTCTGCTTCCTTCTCTGAGTGGGAAACGATTCTCTTGACTTCCAAAGTCTTGAATCTCGTATGGGCACAGGTCTTGCCCGATCCATTCTTGAGACGGCTGATTCTCAGGTAAGTTTTTTTCTTTGTTTAAAAGTTTCAGAATCAAAACCACACGAAGCATGGGACTCATAAACTTCTCTTCTTGTTGTGTAGATTCATATTTTGCCGGTCTGTACTCACTTCCTTCATCCGCGCAGAGGATCACGACCCGTATTTACCTCAATGCCACCCGAATCTCCCAGACTCGGTCTCACCGCTATCTAAACCGGTGCAGTCCTCAGTACAACGACTAGCTGATCACTTGGGTGTTGTTAAATCTTTCCACTTCAACAACACATAATATTAGAACAAAAACCCATGAGCCTCTCTCTCCATCTCTGTGGTTAGAGGTTGGTGAGTGAATAGATTTGTTTGTTTCTTTTTATAGAAAAAAAGTCTGTATTTTTTTAGGGTATAAAGAAAATGTAATTTGGGGATTTTAAATTATTTTGATTTTTGATGATTCTTTTAGTTTTTTTGCCCTTTGTAAAAGATTAGAACCAGGTAATAATTATTAGTCTCTCTACCCTTAAGGATGGTTTGTTTTGTGTATTAGAAGATGAACAAAGATCTTTGCATTGCATAAACAAAATTTGTGACATTTGTAAGTTTGAGATTAAGAACAAAGTAAAGATTGAAGCTTTTCCCAAAAGTAGGACAAATACTAAGACCAAAGATCGAATCTTAGCCGTCAAATAT